GGGTCTTGGCTCCAATATTCGGTGTAATATAAACCAGACATCATTCAAGTCGCACTTGGAAGTTTATTGTGACAGTTAAACTAAACTGTCAACTTGATTGACTTGAGAGCTGCCTAGTGGAATAATAAAGCATACTTCTAGGTGTGTCTGGGTGGGTCATGGAAGGTACTGCATTTGGGCCCTTCCTGTCTGGTGCTGTTAGCCTGTGTTCTGCTCCTGGCTACTATGAGCTAAAATGTTTTACTCCATTGTGCCCTCTGCTATGATATTTCAGCCTTGAGGCCAGCCTAACACAGACTGAAGCTTCTCAAATCATAAGACAAAATTAACCTCTCCTCCTTCAAGTTATGGGCGTTAGTTATTCTGTACTAGCAATAAAGAACCCTACCTTTGATCTAATGTTTCTTGTTGCTATCTCAGGAAAAGTGTTAAAGGAAGAAAAAGTTGGATGATAATGCCATACGCAGTCAAAACAGTGATCCAAGTAGCCCTGGAGTACACAAAATAATTACTACCGTTTTTTACAAGAAACTGTAGGAGTTTGCACTCAGTGGTAACTCCATGTTTTTTGTTTGACTCTTCTCATAGGAGAACAGGAATAGGAGAATATAAGAGAGGAATAAGATGCAGAGGAAGATTCTTGATTTTCAAGTCTAAATTTTTTAAAGATTTAAGTTTTTAATTATGGAATATTTGAATCGCAAAGGGGACTTCCTATGATGAAATTCGCTTTATTTTACAAAGAAGAGTTCTGAGGCTTAGAGAAGTCAAATTCTTTATTTGATTTTTTTGTACCGACAGTCGAACTCAGGACCTTGCACTTGCCAGGCAGGCGCTGTGCTGCTGAGCTATATCCCTGGCTAGAAATCAAATTCCTTACTCAAGGTCCCAAAGCTAAATACCAGAAGTCTTCATTTTTCACTATCCTTGCAGTTATGAGGCTGATCCTGAAGACAGGCTCCCTAGTTTTAAATCTTGACTCTGCCATTCATTATCTCTGCAGTTTCTGAGTAAATTACTTTATCTCTCTCATTGCAAGTTTTGCCCTCTTTCAGCTTTAGTTTTACAGTCCATAATAGGGGAAAAGAATTTTACAGCCTTGAATTAAGGATTAAATAGGCTAGTAATATAAAGCACTTGAAGATCATATTTCACACTTAGGAAATATTCAAAAAAGTTGTTATTTACTTTCATTTTATTGCACAATTGAACATCCAGTCTGGTGCTGTGATCCTAAAATTACAGGCTTTCAAGCATATGCTCAAATTTCTTTTAAAAAATCTAGATAGACTTGCTATAGCTGTGTGGTTGGCCCTCCTCCTACTTGATGATCAGCATCTGCGTCTTGAATAAGAAGGAACAGCTAGTGATTTGAACCTGAAATACAAGATTTCAACTATTTGTTTCCATGTAGTTGAAAACATAGTTCCTCAAACTACAACTCAGAGAGAAAACTTGCCTAAAATCATCTGTGTTACTGAATTTACCAGAGCAGACGCCAATGATGACTTTAAGGGCAATGTTTGAGAGATTTTCCCTCTCTTTGCCTTGTCTGCTTTTGTTCACGTCTGCTTAGCCCTGTGTGTCTGTCCATCCCAAGGCGGGGGGGGGGGGTGGCTAGTGGAAAGAGTTAAAAGAGAAGGCTTGAAGGGTTTAATACACTTAAATGAAAATCACAGTGGATTAAAAGTACAACCTAGAAAATGACAACAATATGTAGTCACTATCTCACATACCACATAGCCCATACTGTAAGAGAAAAACATAATTGATTCAATAATATCGGGCTTGCTTTTAGAGTTTTTTCATTCACTGCTCAGAACTGTTCTTTTTGTAAAAGGTTATTTTTCATTTAAATTATATTTTAGCAATATGTAAAAATTGTACATATTACTAGGGTAATGTGCTCTTTCAATACATGTTTATGATTCTTAGGATTATTGAGATTCTTAGCCATAAATACTCCTCCTCTTTCTTTTAATTGAGAAAAATATATTAAATCCTAAAGGACACTAATCAGAAAGTCCTCCATGTGATGATACTCTCTGAAACAGACAATACTAAAAATAATTTAGAATTATATTTTACTTACAGTAGCACAGGAAAACAACAACAAAAAAACAAAACCTAATTCTTAAATCCATTAATTTAATGCATGATTATCATGTTATTTGCCTAGCCATGGAATGGGTAATAATGATAAATAAGAATATAAATGACTGATGTTTTGATAGTGAATTTAACTTACATTCTCTTAAAAATACAATTTGATTATTCTCATCCATTTCTTTTTTAATTTTAGTGAAAATTTCATGTTAATAAACCAAAAATACTTAACTTCCTATTAACTAACCAAAACATGCTTAATTTTTTAAAAAGTTTAGATGAATCTCTCACTTCAGAGCAAGAGCTAATCATTCATATTGGTTTCTATGCAACCCTCGGTCCTTTAAAATGTGTCTCTTTATTTCCACTTTTCTTAGAGTCATTCCCAATCCAAGTATTTTAATGTTTTGTCATAAATTACAGACTAAAATAAATCCACCATGTCTTGGTGGTTGTTTTCATTAAAAGGAGAGCAAGAAAGAATAAGTAACCCCAATTTTAGCATAGTACAACTTCCAGTAGCTTCTGTTTTCCTATTATGTCTCTAACATTCACGTGAAAAGATGATGTGAATTTTAGCTAGGCGTATTTTAAAGATTTATCTGTATATTCAAACTTTCAGTGTTTTCTATTTTTCTATAGTATCTCTCACACCATTGTGAAAAAAAAATGCTGTATTTTAACACAGCATTTTTCAGAGGCTTATCTGTTGGGAGGATATGTTTTAAAAACTGCGTATATCATGGGTCAGAGCACAAACAGGCCATATTATTCAATCATTTGTAGAAGCCCAGTGCTATTACAATGATATTCAATCCTGTTTCTGAATTTATGTATGAATTTAGTTGAAAAGCTGATCGCGCAGAGCTTTTGTGGCGGTGGTCGTTTTGGTTATAAGCAGCTTGCCTGTTCAATTCACTTTAAAATAAAAAAGAAAGCTGGATAGCTGAAAATATAGTTCAGTGGTACAGCATTTCCTTCACAAGAGCAAGTTCTGGGTCCTAGACCAGAAAAAAACCCTGAAAAAGTATATGTAAAAATGGTCAACAGATCTGTTTTCAGTGCTGGGGATTGAACCCCAGAATTTGTGGGTACTCTGCAAGTGCTCTCTCCCATGAGATATACTTTCCTCTCTAACCAACAGAATTATATATTTTTAGAAATTTTGAAAGTCTAGTATCCTATCAGTAAAGTAAATCACTGGCAAAGGCACTGTTCTCAGTTTAGTTGAAAAGCTAAACTCTGTTTAGTATTCTGAATCTTCTATTTTTATAAAGCACCTATATAGTTGCTTACAAATTGCCAAAATAAATGACTGAAAAGGAAAATCTTTATCTGTTTGATACGATTTATTAAGCAGCCCATGGTCTAATTTGTCCAGTTGCTTTTGCATAAATTGGGCACAGTTTATATATGTGTACCTATTATTCCAGATCCCAAGTGTTAAATGTATGTTTTAAGCTGCTTTGTGTTATCATGTATGTAAAGGAATATAAGTGGATCTGTTAAAAATGGTCAGAAAATACTCACTTGTGTGCTTTAAGTTTCTAAAATTACATTTCTTTCCAGTGCAACAAAGACATTACTTGAATGTATTATTTTTAAACCATCAGAAATATTGGAAATAATATTTTAACTACGTTACTTAAAACAGGGGTAGCAACAACTATAAAAGACAGAAATAAAATTATCACACTTTTTATTCTACTTCGTGTCCGTAAACGCTTATTTCTTCCTGACATAATCTAAAAGAAAAATGTAAAGAGAACTTCTTAAACCTCAGCATGTTAAAGTAAAGTGAAACACTGGGACTGAAAGGAAAAATAATTCAATAGACCTACAGCTACAGACAGATACATTCCTAAAGGATTCGTCTTTTAATTATTCAGGATGTCTAAATTTCTGCAGCCCATGATACTAGTTTTCACCAGTGGAATAACAGTGACATTTTGTTCCCGTACAAGTAGCTGTTCTCTGGGTGGTGGATTCTAGAAAAGCAACAGGCGTTTTCGTCTGAACTCTAACTAGAGAGCTGCTACCCACGCCGGCTGGAAAGAGCCAGCAGAGAAGGTGGCAGCATGATTCCCAAGCATTTTGCCAGCGCTTTCAGAAAAGAGGGAGGAAAAAAGAGAAAGCGGACCCCTTTGAAAGGAAAGATTTCTCTAGGCTGTCCTGGCCCCTCACCCTCTCCCCAGGTTGTGGAATAATAAAATCTGCAGGGACGCTTAGGTTTCTGGAGTACAGCAGAGCAATGTAACTCGACGATTTTGCTTGCCCTGAAATGTTCAAGGCGAGGCGAGACAGACTCATCAGCCCTCCCGCGCGGGAACACTGCCAGCGCCCCCTGACGCGGCCCGGGCGCCTCCTCCACCAGGAGCGGCACCGTCTGCTCCGCCTGTTGCTCCCGCCTCACGCCGTCCCGGACTCTCCGAGCGAAGCGCCGCCGCCCCGGGCGTGCGCGGCCCCGCCTGCTGAGGCCGGCCGGGCGCCGAGGCGGGCGGCCGCGGGAGCTGCGGGCTGCGGAAGCCGGGTCCGCGAGCCCGGCCGAGGCCGCCTGCGCAGGGTGCCCTGCCTCTGGGCTCGCGGGGAAGCCCGCGAAAGTAGCGCTCAGACTCCGCCCCAGCCAGTCGGCGGGGCCAGTCCCGGTCCTTCCCGAAATAGAGAGCAGGTCTCCTCCGGAACACCGCAGTAGCCGGGCGCGTGTGCGCGTGTGTGCGAGCGTGTGTGAGACACAAACCAGGGGGAACCGAGCGTGTGCGCCGGCCTGGGGAGCGCGCGGAGTGGGACCCCCGGCCGCGGCGAGGTGACCGCCAAGGAAACCCAGAGGACACGGAGACCGGTCCGTTTCGCATCTGCGTGAGCCGGGCCGCCGGGCCTGCGGGGAGGCCACTCACCATGTTCACTTCGGAGACCATGTCTATGCTGGCGACATCGATCCGCATCCCCACGTCCACGGGGGGCCCTGCCAGGGAGGTGGGACCACATTAAGGCACAGTCCTGAGCCGCAGTGGACTAGGAGGGCGGGGTGGGGGGCTCCCGGCCCTCACTACATCCAGAACAGGCTCCCTCCCTCTCCCCCCTTGGGGACAGCCGCGGAAAACAGGTGTGGGCACACGCGTGGTGCAGTGACTGTGCAGAGGGTGTGTCCAGCGGGAGGTCAGCTTAGCCTAGGGATTCGTGCACCTGAGCCTAGGAGTCCTGCGTGTGCGTGTGCGTGTGCGTGTGCGTGTGTGTGTGTGTGTGTGTGTGTGATTTCCAGGGCGCAGTGCACGTTCAGGAAAATGACGAAAATGCATTTATCTTTGTCAGAAAAGGTGAACTAGGGATGGGTTACAGGTTGAAAAAAGATGAAGCATTACCTCCAAAGTCCGGCCTCAAGCGAATGTCATATCCTTTGAGCAACCTGTCCACCGTCTCTTTCACGTATGACATGTTGCTGGATTCAGTGGCGCTGAAGGGAAGAAGTAGGGACCGTATTCAACATGAGCACAAACTGCGAGCAGACATAGGAGATACAGGCACACCTACCCCCGATACCAAGACACAAGATCCAGCAGGCATGTAGAAAGAAAAACACCAGGAAAAGACAGAGACAGAGATTCAACAACGGAAGCTCACCTGTGTGCACAACAGACCATGGCAATCATCACAGGGAAAGAGAGAAGCCCCAGATTCTCTCGATTTTGTACTGTCCACATTACTAACTCTGATTAAAGAATTGTCTTTTCTGCGAAGATTCAAGGAATGCAACTTAGTCAGCGGCTGGGCAGTAATTCCCGAATGGACCTGCGCATGCGCAGAGCGTGCTCACTACCAAAAGACACCTTGTGCCTTGCAAACAATATTCCTAGTGGAACAGGCAACAGATTTCAGTCCCTTTAAAGTTCCTGTGTGGGGTGCTCCGCGTTCTCTGGGTAGTCAGAGGCAACCTGCTGTCTTCGGCCGGAATCCTACGTGTTTGTGAATGCGGAGTTTTCCTTGTGCCCTGGCAAATGCTGTGTTTCTTTCCTTTCTGCCTTCAATCTGATTCTTCACTCTGCTCTCAGTGATCTAAGGCTGCCTGTGACTTGCATCTTTCCTTGCCAGTCACAGAGGTCCTAGACCGAGCAATCTGGAGCCGGTTCTCTGGTAGCCAGTGAGAGGAGTTAGGAGGGGAGCATGGAACGGAGAATGGAAAAGGACAGTCCTAGAAAACAGAAAAAAGGGAACGGAGGAAATTCAGGAGCCAAGAATCCTGTCGCCTTTGGGAGGCGAATTAGGACCCATACTTTAGGTAATGTTACTCTGTGGGCGGGGGACAGGGTGAAGCTGACCAGCTTCTCAACTCTCTCCCCAGCTCTGCTCCCTTGCCTTTTTAAATCCTTCCCAGAATGTTTGGGGAGGGAGCTGCTTTGGGCAGGGGATTGCTTTTCTAGGGCCATCTGCTGCAAGTCCCACCTTTCTTGTCCTTTCTAGTAAGGAAAGCCTCTTTCTTCCATTGCCAGCTTCGTAGTAGCTTGTATCAGTGACCCGGAACGGGGCTCTCAAACCCGGGAGTGTCCCACCTCTGTTAGCCCTTAGTTTGGGGTTGGTGCTGTTTGAATCAAGTGAAACTCTTAAGGCAAGTCGACAAATGTAGCTGAACACAAGTTAGATGGTGGGATACTCAGGACTAGGCGTTTATTCGTTTGTTAAGTAGCATTTATTAAATTTTTACTATGTTCTAGGCATTCTGAAACGTAAAGCTGACTTAAACAGGGCCCTTGACCTAGAGAAATTCACAGAGCAATTGGAAGAGATATACCTAAATATAATGAAATTCTGTATATTTCTAGATAGTTTATGTAGTAACAAAAAGGTTGTTAATTTTCGAGGAAGAAGCAGAGATAGTTTCAGAGGAGGAAACAATTGAAGAAGGAGAAAGCTTTTGCCAGAGCTAGAAGAGAGGGTATTCAAGAAAGTGGGGGTGGTGTGTACCAAACACTGGCCACTCCGGAAAACATAGTCACACTTGGGTTCCCGGACACAGAAAAGACGACTCAAGTTATAAAGGGAGGGAAAAGGGACAGGATGCAGGATGGTTAGGATGTAAAGGGAGGCTGAGGTCATAATATAAGGAGAGTTACGTGACGCTCTGTATGTAGGCTTCTAGCATACCCATAGGATCTTATCTGTTAGCCTTAGTTAAAATTTATGTAGGGTGGGCCAGGGCAGATTTAGGTTTTAGACTAAACATTCTGGTAGAATAATTATGACAAGAACAATCAACACTTATCAATTCCAATCTGGCAATTCCTGTGCAAAGTTGATAGACTATGTAATGTAAAACTTAACAACAATCCAAATATGATGTACATTACTATGACTAAATTAGGACCATGAAACTAGTTGTTTAATATCCAACAACTAATAATAGTAGAATCTGGAATTCCTAAAATTTATGGATCTAACTACTTACTCTCTATGCTGTGAACCTTGGAGCCTCAAGAGTAGGAACTATACAGAGAAAACAAAAAGAAGAAAAGGGGTTATTATAATACCCCTGGGGAAAGGAACTAAGGTTAGAGAGTAGGGGCTGGGGATTTAGCTCAGTGGCACAGCGCCTGCCTGGCAAGCATGAGGTCGTGAGTTCAATTCCCAGTACTGGAAAAAAACCAAAACAAAATAAAGTTAGAGAGTATTTAGCATGAGAGCAGTGATAGAGAATCACAACCTTTTAGAAGAATACTAGAGCCATCAAATAGCTGGAAAGGTCAGGAGTTGGGGATATATAGCAACTATCTAAAGGACTGTACAAATGTTTACATGTGTTGAGCTTACTATTATACAAAAACATTAATTTCATTTTCTATCTGAGCTTCACAACAATCTTAACCAGTGTGGCCCTTTCTTCTGGGGATAAACATTAAGGCTCAATTAGGTCCCCTAGTTTCTTTGAGAGATATCAATGCTTTTTAATTTAAATGGATCTGTTTTTAACAGTTAAAAAAATTATTTTATGTTTTACTTGCTGAAACATAGAACCTATGCTGCACAATTTTGCACAAGTCACACTCAGAAAATAATAAGGTTTGTTTTTCCTTCATTTATTCCTCAGATATTTATTAATCATTTACTGCATCCCAGACATTGTGCTAAGAGCTGGTGATGTAATAGTGAGCACAGCAACATACATGGTACCTCTTCCACTGGAATTTGATATTGAATACATCTATGGGGGCTGCAAACTGCCAGCCTTGTGAGCAAAACGCATTTCATTAGAGAAGCGTTTGTTCTGGTGTTCACCATTTGTTCATTTAACTTATAAGACATTTCCTGGTATATATATTTTCTAGTTGATTATAATACCCCCAAATTCTTCTTAAATATCAATCAGAGTTCTATTAACAGTGTCTGCTAAAGAACTAAGATTTTGTTCTGAAATCAGGGAAGACAATTTGTGCTCTTTATACTTCAGTCTTATTACTAGGCAGGTCCTAGCCAGATCAGTTTCACTAAATTTTGTCCTGAAATTATGCCTTCTGATTATATGAAGGGGTCCAACAAGAAGTCATAAGACATTCATTATTGTATTTGTTACTGGTACACTATTGGTGCCTTATATAAGAGCACCTTTGGAGAAAAATTTTCCCAGACGTTAGTACTTTGAAAGTTATCTTATTTCCTGAATAGTTTGTATCTTAATGGCAGAGAAATCCTAAAAGCCACCAATTTGCTTTGGCGGCTGGAGACCGTAGAGTTATATATACAACTCAGATTCAATCATTATCCAAATACTAGTGACCTGCATTTAGATGTATTAAATTTCTCCTTGATGGCTTAGAATTCTAAATTTAATTTCCTTTTTTCACGGTTTACTAATTTAAAAGTAGATATGTTGCACTGAATATATAATGTTTTTAAGTTGTCTTGGAAGAGGGGAATAAATTTAAAGTAGTTTAAAATTAAGTAAATAATTGAAATTTTTTAAAATCATCACATCCAGATGCATTTTGGCATTATTTTTTAATGTCATGAAAAAGCCAACACTTTCTTCCCTTGTGAAGTTGCTTATTTCTCCTCTGAACCAATCCTCCTAATTAAGATGTTTCCCTTTCATGAGTCATCTCAATTTCCACTTTTTTGAGTAAAGGTGCCCTGAAGACCACTGATGATCCCTACTCTTATCTTCTCCTTTTTATGGCTCTAAGAGGGAAAAGGAGAAGGTCTTAAAAATTTACATTTCTCTAGGATGAAAATATCTTAAGGGAAAATAAAACAAAGCTTCACTCATATTCTTAGCATTCTATACACAGTTACTAATAAGGAAACATAATTAGAAAAATTATTCCATTATAATAACTTCAAAACTCTTTAAGGGATCCAGGAATACTGAAAGGTACAAAACTCCTTTAAATATATATATATATATATAATCAATGCTATACAGTAAAAATGTATATAATATGTTATTGAAAGACATTAAATAAGAATTAGATAAGTGGAAAATGTATCACATATGTAGCTAAGAAGAATCAGTATTGTAAAGATACTGTATATTCAGGGCAAAAATATAGCCAATCTGAATCAAAATTCTGCATCTTAATGGAAATTTTGGAGAACCATTTTTGTTTTTCTTTTTTTGAAACAGGATCTCCATATGTAGCCCTGGCTGGTCTTGAACTCACTGTGTAGCCCACACTGGTCTCCACCTTATGGCGATTCTCCTGCCTCAGCTTCACACATGTGCCTCCATGCCCAGCTGAGAAATAAATTCTAAAATGTAAAACTTAAAAATGAAGGGTCAAAACTAGCCAAGAAAGCTGGGATGAGAAAAAAAAAGTATGATGTGGTGCTACTACCTTTAGGATATCAAGAGTTTTCATCATAGAAATTATAGCAAGTATGTGTTTTGTTTGGGATTCACGTAAAGACAGAAATATAGTACAAGCAAATAAAAAGCAGAGACATATTCCCTTATTTTAAGAAAAGTGGAGAAAGATGAGCTCATAATAAGTCATACAAGACAATTTATCATCCAGAAGGGAAATGGACATTTTTACATGATCAAAATTTAAGATGGGTGTAAATATACACAAAATATAAAAAACAAACCTTCAGCATTTTACAAAAGCTCTGTAGACAGTGGTGGTGAACCTATGGCACACTTGCCACGGTGAATGCACACAGCCCTCTCTGTAAGCACACAAGCTAAGACACCAAGGCAGCAGAGTAGTGGATATTCAGGTTTAATTGCAGTGCTGGCACTTTTCCATAAATAACCAGGCTTTGGTTTGCAGTTTGAGTAGTCAGTCTCTAAAAAGCTCACCATCATTGGTATAGGACAAAGTCTTCACAATTTTGACATAAGAAATGAGGTAAAGGTGAACTATTAAAGAAATGTCTTATAAAAATAACTGCATTAACACAAAATCTTCTTTAAATGTAACCTACTTAATACAATGAAAAGCCAAGCTACACAAAGAAAGAATATGTTTTCATCAAAGTTACCTTCCAAAGGACTTGTAGCAAGAATTTACATACCAAAAAGAAAGGAGCAAGAAAAGGAAACCAAAATCCTCCTACAGGTAAATAAGACAAAAAGGCAAAGATACTTTTTTTAAAAAAAAAAAGGAACTGAAACTTAATGATACACCATTTCTAACTTATCATCTCATGCAAGCATTGGCTAGGAAATCTCACATACATTTACTGTGCATGGGAATTTAAATATATTGTAAAACCCTTGGAACATATCAAATCAAAGGTGCATTTGCCATTTGAGACAAAATTTCTCTACTAAGAATATCTTAGTGATACCCTCAGGCAGTCTAA